ACCAGCTTATTTGCACTTTCAAAAAAAGAGAAATGACCCCCACAGCATGATGCTGCTACCACCATGTTTCCCCTTGGTCAGAGTGTGTTCAGGCTGATGAGGAGGTGACAGACCCTCCCACCTGAGCTGTGGAGATCTGAGACTCATCCAAAGTCAACAGGGGCTTTTTTTCTCTCTATAGGAATGTTATTTATTTCGAAATACTCTTTAATTTTCAGCTGATCGACTAAGCAGTGCAGTGAGGTGTTTGCAAAATTTTATTTCAAAAGAAAATAATTTCTCTTTCATTTTACAATGATTAATAACTTTGCTTTTATCTATTGCACTACATCCTAATAAAATACATTACTGTCTGCCGTTGTACTTTGACAAAATAAGAATAAGCTATAAGAGTATGACTCTAAGGTTAATGGTGAAAGGAAACAAAACAAAAAAAAAGCCTGTTCAAGTAGTTACATGTTTTTATTTGTGGCGTATTATTTTAATAACCTGTTCTCTTTTGTTCTTCAGATGAAAATGGTTATGCAACTATTACATAAATGTTGAGCCATAACACTTGATATCTTGCAATTAATCTTTGCAAAATAAAGAAGCAAAAATCAAAAACTTTTTATTTCCAGTTGACCAGCCCTCTTGTAAAGGTTGTTTCTTTAAGAAGGAGAAATGTGTAGTCAATGATTGTCAGATCCTCTTGCATGAGCAATCATGAAGTAACTATCTTGTTTCCCAGGACGGTCATCACTGTGTGACTCACATCCAAGTGGTTCTAAACTGCAGCACTGATTTCAACCATGTTTTAAATGCTTGAATTAACCACTAAACTAAATAAACATTGCTTGCCAAAAAATTAAGGCAAATTAAGGCTTTTTTTTTTTGTTTCTCAGACACAAAACAGTTTAGGTTTTTATATCTTAATCTTAACTCTAAATTTGGGATTGGAATTTATTTTATTATATAAATTGGAATATTATTAAAGAGTTGATTCAATTTAGTAAAATCATGAGGTATTTAAAATGATTACACACAAACTGATGTTTACAACTCTGTATTTCTGGTATTTGTTAGATTTTGTTTTTGCTTAAAACTAATGGGAACACAATATTTTAGATATGATTATTACATCAGACCATAAGTAAATAGTTTGTAGAGCATAAATGTGGCTTTGATTAAAAAAAAGGATGTTTGCATTGACTCGAATTAAATCCCTCAACCTAAGCATGTTTGTAGCAACAGTGGAGAGGAAAAACCTCCCTTTTAACAAGAAGAAACCTCCAGCAAGTTTCTTCCTTTTAACAGGAAGAAACTTCCTGTTAAAAGGAAGGGTTTGTTGTCTCAAAAAGAGATTTTTTATATTTAAACCAAACAAGCCTCATTGGAAGCACATTGTAATTGAATATTATTTGATAAATGATAAAAAAAAAATGTTGGCCATTTTAAACTTCTAACCAATCACACAATAGTTGTAAGACACCACAGGTGAAAATGTTTTTACCCAGATGATGTATTAAGAACAAATTAGGAAGTTTTAATCAGGTCATCCTTTCTAGCAAGCTACTAGATAAAAGTTAATGTATAAAAATCATTACTAATAAAGATACCTTAGAAAAAATGACACTGTTGTGCAGGTTTGTAATGTAGTTATTGCTTTTAATAGCAAAATCTATCAAATACATGTTTCGCTTTGTTCACAAAAACAATGGTATGGTTTCAATAAAAAAAAAAAAATTGTAAAACCACATTAGATGCTTCTATTGTACCACAGCTGCTTGTGCAACAACTTTATATTTACAAATAGGTTATTCCGTAAAGCATTTGGCAAGCATGCTTTCAAAAACACATTTACTAAGCCAGATCCAGAGTATATTACCATATACAAGCCAGAAATGATTAAAAAGAATTGTCAGTATGTTACATTTTTAAAATGAGTAATTTGTTTTAAACTTTGTCGTTACTGTTAGTGTCTTTCTGCAAAAATCCCCTGCTTCAAAACATGCTGGGAAAGAAATGCTAACCTTAAAGGAGTCCACGACTAGCTGAACATTTTAAACTAAATATGCTTTAATTTTCCTATTGACTTTAAAATGTACATCTGTGATATGTAAAAACTCATAATTACTTGGAAATTGTAGGAGATTTTTTGTTATATATTTTAAACATGGAGGTTGCCATTTCTTTTTTTGTACGTGTGCAATGCATGCTAGATTGGTGACTCTGTTAGGTCTAACTGAGCCTTAAGAGTAAACACAGGAAGCTGTTTTTTTATAGTATGCATTGCATTTGACTGCTGTAAATGCAATGCCAGATTGCGTCACTGCCTCAAAGTTCTTATGAGCCGTTATACACGAGATATATGGTGAAACAAAAAATGTGATCGGCTTATGTTCTACTGTTTACATTAGCTAGATGTAAACAGTAGAACAAAATCTATTGTTAACTAATTGAAAGATAATAAACGACAGGTTAAAGTGAGGGGGAGACACCTTTTACTCATTGTAAAACATGGACTGTATCCGAACATCCGCCCTAACCCCCAAAATCCCTCAATCACTGTATAGAGCAGGGACCATATAGTGGACTTTAGAGGGAACTCAGTTAAGTGAAATTTTCGCTCCGCGTTGGTCACGTAACTCCGCCATCTTTGTTATTTGTCGCCACTTTTTCTTAGCGACAGCCGTAGGCTGTGACAACAAATCCCATGGTGCTTTGCGAGGAGAGCTCTCCTCGCAAAGCACCACGGGATATATCTACTCGTCTAGTAAACATGGATGATCACTACTTTTCAAGGTGCATTGTGGGAAATTTCGAGTCCACTAGTTTTTCATCCAATAGACCAGGGGTCTTCAATCTTTTCCAGGCCAAGGACCCCCAAACTGATGGCGAGATGGAGCGGGGACCCCATAATTATATATATTGTATGAAATTGTATTATATCAACCTGGTCCTATTGTCACACTTTTACAGATGGAGTCATGTAACAAAAGTGATTCCTCCCTGGGATTATTAAAGTATTTCTGATTGTGATTCCTGGTTGATGGTACAGGTGTTGTGAATGAAACGGTGCCCGGCTTGAAAGAGCTCCTGTGTGTCGCTGAATGTGTGCATTGATGACTGAAAGACATCTTCTGCCTCCATTTATCTGTTTACTACAGTCTTTTGAATTCATGTTAATGTGGATTTAAAGACATTTCAATTAGTGGAAAAAATTGCAGGAGGAATATAAAAAAAAAGTCTAATCAACCAAAACTTTCGCGACCCCCATGCAGTACCTCCGCGGACCCCCGAGAGGTCACGGACCCCCTTTTGAAGACCTCCGCACTAGACATTTGGACACTCATCTAAAATGCCCTAACCACTATATAGGGCCCTATATAGTGGTTAGGACAGACGTTCGGACACGGTCATGGTTTTAACATCATGTTTTTAACCATAGACAGCCTCAGTTCAAAACTTTGTATGTTGATCATAAACATTTATGACAAATTATGGTGGATCCCTTTAGGAAGATGCTGATTTTTTGACTCCTGTTTAGTTGAATGCTGTGAATTTTTTTTTGTTTGATTATTTCCATAAGGTTTATTTCATGGTGTTATAGATGCATTTATAACTTGTCTTAAAACTGGCTAATTTTTTGCTTGAGTGAGGGGAAAACATCTTTCAGCTTGTGACCTTCATCGGGGTCAATAAAGTCAGTTCTAAGAAGTTTAAGAGTTCCTGAAGTTTTCACCTTACCAGGTATTTGACCCTCCTAATGCATCTTGGAAGTTAGTAAGGTTGTACCAGAGACTTTTGGATATCTATTTCGATGATTACTGCAGCTGCTTAAAAAAACAGGCTTACCCAGAATTGTGTAAGATTGTTTGTAGAAAAGAAAATCTGGATGTCCAATTCTGGTAAGCAAATTTATGGCTTTCTCCTTCCTCAAGGCCTATAACCTCTGTGCACATTGGTAAGAGAAACAAGGCTGCACTTTAGGTCATAAAACTTAGTTAGTAAGTCGGTTAGTTTCATTTCTTGATAAGAAACAACTTTAAAAATTACAAAAAAGTCTTAGAAAAGCAGCATTCATAAGAAATGTATTTTCCCTCATAGTTTCTAGGAGTCATTAAAGCCATACATGAGTGTGTTCTCTGAATAGTGAAAAAAATAGTGTCAGGCGGCTTTTCGTCGAAATGTCTTCACAATTTCCTATTTTGAATTGGAAAAAACTTCCTGGATGGAAAGCGAAACGTCTTCAAACTTGGAAACAAAGTCCAGTGCATAGTTATTTAACTTTTTTTGGAATGACTATTTACTGCTGTTAAGTGTTCAAATATTGTTTCCTTTTTTCAAGTGTAGCTTTAGTTTTTTTTTTTATTTTAACAAATCTTATTTGCCATTTTGGAGCATGAAAAAAAGAAAACACGCTTATTTCTTTAGCCTTAAAGTAGCTGGATTCATTTAAACTAGCAATATGTTCCCCAGCTGTAGTAAGCTGTTACATAAAAGTTCAAGCACTGCTTGTTCCATTCTGGCCAGCAGCCTAATCATTGAGGTAAGAAAGGCAACTTTTTAACAGAGCTGGCTGGTAATGAGTAACATTTACGCACTTACGTTTACTTTGGTATCTTTTTTTGTACTTCTGCAAATCATTTCACAGCTTAAAACTTTTTTATTAAGTTGTAATATCCCTGATATAACTGAAAACATTTATTACATTGCGAAGGTGATTTTAATGTCAGCCAGGTGCATTATGGGAACTTTGTACTGTATTCACCAATACATTAGTTAGTTTATGGGATGTAGAGAACACCGGAATGGTTGCCATGACACAGGTAGAGTTTAAACGCCTCCGTTGGCTACTTTCTCTGTGACCCCCCCACCCAAACCACCACCCACTCGTTGATTACGCAAAAAGCAGCGGAGGGTTGTGATTTGCCGAGCGGAGCCCTCCCTCCTCGGTGGTAACTTATTACAGGAGTTTTCGGGGCGGAGCCGCTTCCCCGCGAGATAAATTGTGAGTGGTACAATTGGAGGAGTCGGGTACGAAACTGTCCTTTCGTCTCGCCTGTGAAGGGCAGTTAACAGCCTCGGCTTGATTTAAAATTACCCATAAAAAAGAAAAATTCCGGTCTAACCGTTAGAGGACGCGGGGGGGAAAGCATTTTTCCGTGGAAGTGATATGTCTGGAAACAAAGAAAGTGACGGAGGATGGAGGAAATTTATGTGGGATTCAGAGAAGAGAGAGTTCCTGGGACGAACAGGGGGCAGTTGGTGTAAGTACTCCATTTTTTTCCTCTCTTTCATCGGTCATTGCTAGTCTCTGCTAGCGGCTGTCAGGGAAGGGATGGTAACCATAGAGGGGGGATGGAAACCGTTTTTCCTTCTCTTCATTTCCTCGCCGTGCAGAGAGTCAGCACCTGTTAGAGCACAGTGACATGCTGAGTCGTGACTTCGGTTTCAGCGCAGACTGTGGAGACGAGAAGTTTCACTAAAAATCCGACACAAACTCCTCTGTGACTCCAAACCGAGGAGGATCAAGAGTAGTTGGAAAAAAAGGTGATTAATTATCACGATAACCCAATCAACTCTCACTAGAGCTGACAGCTTTAAAAAAAACTTATTATTTTATTATCTGGATCCGGATCGGGTTTAACTGATAAATACATTGTAATAGGCAATCATTACCGTAGGCGTAGCCCCGGTCAATTATTATTGCCCCTTCAAAAAAAAAAAAAAAAAAGGTCATCCTGAAGGACAGATTGTGGGCCAGAGCCGTCCACTCAACCGGTTTGAGTTTACTCTTTTGGATTCGATCCTCCTTTAAAATGAGAAGTAAACGGAAATAAGAAGACATTTCCACAGTTATAAGCGGATGGCTAATTCTGCTAGGCCCCACCTTCTAATCCCACCCCCCCAGACTCCAGATTAATGAATTAAACTCATTTTTCAAAATAGTTTTCAACACTTTTAAGGCGATCGGGGAATCTTAACTAATGCGATCAGATCTGGAGGATGATTTGATAGTATAACCGGCAACCGTTAAACACTCCTGAATAGTGTCGCAGAACCGGTTTTTGAGTGAGAAACGATCACCATTATTTTCTGTTCGGCGCACGCGGCGTTTGGGAACAAGGTGCCGCGCTGCAGCCGATCACGACTCATGTCTCGTGGGCCGCCCCTCTGTCTGCCATATTTATTTATTTATTTATCCCTCCTCCCTCTGAGAGACCCGCTCTGTTGCTTTCGCGACACTTTGATGCGAAAAAATCTTCAGGTAAACAAAGATTAGCAGCCGTTGGAGACGCACTACCGCGTCACAGCTGGCGCGTGCTGCTCCAATGGCGAACTCTGGGGAGCTCTACTTTTCCGCACGTGTCATTACAGAGCTCCGCAGCTGGACTTAGTGACAATCAATGACTGTTTCTTTATTTTTTTATTTTTTGTAAAGTGAAGCTTAAAAATATGTCTACTGAAAGCAACAGGTATGTCTGCGCAGAGACTACTGGTTGCGTTCAGACTGATTCAGGCTACTTTACGTATTTCCGGCTACATTTTTGTTTGTTTAGCTTCGTTCTCCCTTTTTTTTTTAAAGTAAATAAGCAGGGGATCGGGTGGTGACACTCAGACAGGACAGTTGTTTCGTTCCTGTATGGTCACGTGACTACATATGGCTACTTTTCTGCGCTTTAACAAACGTGTTTGTGGGGAAGAGATCAGTGGGGAAGGTCCACTTCACAGGCCTGAGGGGGGAGGGAGGGGGCTTCATTCAAACTGTGCCCAGAAGCCACAGCCTCACTCTCCACCCCTCCTCCCCCTCACACTATTGTATTTTTGAGTCTCTGTTTTGAAACTCTAGGACACCTAAGTTAGTCAAGTAAACAAAACAAAAAACCATGAAAGAATTTCAGAAATTTTAAATGATTCCTTTCTAACCATTTCTCTCAGGCAGGGAATGTCATTTTATGAGTCGGCTAGTCCACACAGAAACATGCAAAATAACAACAAAGAGTTCTCCAAACATGCCAAAATGGTTGAAGGTTTGTTTACAAAACAGAAGCAGGTGGTAACACATCAGAAACATGTATATAGGAGGTTATCAGGGGGGTAAATTGAGCCAGGGGTGTTACATTTAAGTATGTTGCCAAAACAATGTTAAAGATTTGTATCAATTAAAGGTAAAAAAAACAAGTTTATAAACATGATAATTTGCTCACTGCTGGTTTTATTGTTTATTAAATCAGTGCATAAAAATATCAGAAACAGCTCTGAAATAAAGCATGATCAAACTTTTATTTCTTGTTACTTAAAAGCAATAAAACCAGGATTTTCCATTGAACAGCAGAATGAACTGTTTTATTCACATATTCTTTAACTTAAATACATCAGTGGCACTTAAATATCAATCAAATACCAGCAGCTCAGACCTATTAAACCACTGAAAATGTGGATCAGTCAAGAAAGAAGTTTGTCACTATAAAGAATATATCCAATATATTTAGAGGGATTGGCTGTTTCTCTATCTAACAGCACTTATATGAATATAGTCATGTTAGAATGACCTCGAAAGGTCATACGGTTATATATTTTTTATTGGCTTTGGTGGCCCTGATTCGCCTGTTTGCCTGTCAAGAAAACATTTGTTTAAAGCAGGCTTTCAGTGCAACATCTTTAGACTTGCACAAAGTTACAGTATGCGTCAGTTCCTGATATGGTGGCGTGTCTGCTGTTACTTCCTGACAGGTGCCTCACAGAGCCGCCTGTCTGCGCTGCTCGCTGACACACGTTTGCTTTACAGACAGGTGTATGTTAGTGGGGAACATATGGAGGTCAATAATCCAGGCTGTCCCCTTTCTCCGTGTCTAACTCTAGCCTGAGCGGTGGTATGCCTTGCAGACTGCCTCTGACAGCGTCTGATCATATCATCTATCCAGAAAAAATGTAAGAGCTGTTACATTCAAACACGTGTTGAAACAATATCAGAGCCATCCAGATACACGAGCGGGGTAGGGCCCACTGCAGGCCTCTCTGTTTGCAAGAGATATTGCTCACGAGTTAAGCCTGTTAACCCACCAAACCGCTTTCTGTGGAAGCTGATGTGGAGCAGGTCCTGGAAGTAGAGGGACATATTTAAAGGGTGCACATGAGGGAAGAGGAAACTGATCTAGCTGTCTCTCGGTTGTGCTATAAAAAAAAAGGAGATGATCCATTGCAGACTGTAACTGTTGGCCCTATTTTAACATCTGTACAAGGTCAAGTTTAGGCAACATATGAGTCTTCAGCATCGGTTTAAAGAAGTCACCCAGATCTCAGTTCACAGCATTATCAGATCATCAGTTATGTCTGAATTTAAGGGGATAGACGCTGTTTAAGCTGCAAAGCAAGTTCAAACTGGTTAAAAGGGGTGATTAGAAAAACCCTTCCAAGTTACAAGCAGCCAGCAGTGGGTTCACATTGTAACAGTGAGTTATCCCCCCCCCCCTGCTCAGCATTAATGAAACTCAGCCGACAAAGAAAACTAATAAGACTCGGTCTGCTACAAGAACATAAATAAGGAGCTCTTTGTTTAATGAGGCGAGGACAGTGTTTTCATCCAGGAACCTGTTGGAAGTGACACATTGGGGGTGGGAATGGAGCGGTGGCGGGGGTCTGCATGGGAGCCAGCGCTGGCGCCTGGCAGAGTGACTCATCTTGTTGCACTGGAAGTGTGGCCCTGCAGCCGTTACATAATTGGAGTAGCATTTGAGCGAGACTGAGGAGGGGGGTAAAATCTGATAGGCTGGAAGTGTGAGAAGATTCCTTTTTTTCCTGCAACTTTGAAATGAGGAAATTTTAAACGCTACACCGCTGTTTTAAGGAAAATTAATGTCTGTTATTTCTCTGACCGTGAGCCAGGTTTACTAGAGCTTATCTTTTAAATCTGAGGATTTTTAGATCTGAAACACACACACACTTGTAAGGGCTTAAGTCAGAATTTATTTGAGCCTGCGGAAATAATGCACGTAATGACTTAATCGCTTTAATTTCCCTCGGTTCCCACACCCATCACAGCTTTACTAATTGTGGTGTTCTTTCTGGGATCAGCGCCTCAAAAAAACAACAACATCTCGGTGTTTTGCAGGTAAACGTTTCGGCTACTGTTAGATTATGCATTCCCAGATCTAAGAGGGTTGGAGATCTGTGTTTTAAACCCATCGAAATGAACAGAGAGTAAAGCTTTGTCAGTATTCTCCCTGCCGATCAGAGCAGGTCAGTCGACCCCCTGGTGCATCTCTAACTTTATCTGCTCATTTCTCTTTCAGTTAAAATCTTCCTGTTCTACGTGATTTTCTATGGATGCTTGGCTGGGATTTTCATCGGGACCATTCAGGCCATGCTGCTGACTTTACATGACTATAAACCAACCTACCAGGACAGAGTTGCTCCACCAGGTAAACAGATTTTCTCTTGTTTTTTATTTGTCCAAACTCCTGGCTGAGGTAGTGATCTGATGTTGCTAAGGACGGCGTGATCAACTGGGATGTTGCACTAATCAGAGATGTCTGCAGCATTAAGGGCTTCTCTTTTTGAAAAAAAGAAAGAAGGAAAGAAAAATAAGCAGCCTGTTTGGGTGTGCCTTTAATAAGCTGCTTCTCTATCAGAAGTCTTTCTGACCTCAAATAGGTTCAGCCATTTTGTCCTTCACTCCTCTCAGCCAGTCAATGGTTCCCCCCTCAGGCTGCAGGGGAACTGAAACGATCTGTTTTCTTTTTTTTCTTTTTTTTGCTATGATTATGACTCACGGCGGCCTGGTTTAAATGAAGAGCTTGTTTAACAGCGTTTAGAGGAAAATAAATCAGTTTTTATCCCCGTTTTGTTTCCTTTTTTTCTCTCTCTTGTGGAAAACATTTATAACATGGACGTAACATAACATTTTGAAATTTCCTGCAATTTTTTTAAAAGTTTCCTTCTTTTTTTGTGGGTGTCAAGAGCCCTGTCATGTTGTGCCAACACTTGTTTGGGCAACACATGCTTCAGCTCTGGGGGTATTTTTAGAAGCCATTGTAGAGGGGAGACTTCTTTCTCCTGCCACTCTAAGCGGCAACAATCAAAAAATAACATCTCAGTGAAAGAGTTGGGCAACGGTGAGCTGCAGCAAGGATTGACTAGAGGCACGAACAAGGAAGCAGAGTTTTTTTTCTCTCTCTCTCTCTTAGAGCACAACCCGCCTCTCACTCTGGGGCTAAAAGTTTCCATTGTAAGAGAGCCACACGTGAGGCTGGTTGGGTGGGGGCAGGGGACTTGGTGAACTTTCACAAGTGAGATTCTTACTCTCGTCTCTCTGCCGGCTCTTGCTTAACTATATGGCAACAAATCCATCCGCTAGTACCGGAAAAAAAAGGAAAGGTTGATGAATGTTATGTTGTCTCTGATTGGTAATAAAACCCATCTCACTCTGCCCCTGCGCTGCCATGCCACGCCTCAGTAGGGCCTTGTGCACGAGGTCTGTGGAAAATTACCACTCCCAAGAGCTGCCAGAGACCATCCGGGGAAAATCCCCAAGACCCCCACATTGTCTTATGATAAAGAACAAAAACCTGCTAGGGTTTTGCACTGATCACAAATCAATTAAATCTACTGCATGTTTGGGTTTTATTGTTTTATTTTAAGTTGTTTTCATTTTTCTTACCTAAACCTTTCTGATGTTTCTCAGGTCTGTCTCACACACCCCGCTCTGAAAAATCAGAAATCTCTTTCACAATAAGCAAGGAGGAAACATATAAGAAGTATGTGGAGAGCATGGCGGCTTTTCTGACGCAATATGATGATGACAAGCAGGAGGATGACATGAAGTATGAGGATTGCGGAGGCAAGTATTAGAGATGGACATAAGCTGTGAAGTTATCTTTTTTTTTTCATGTAAACATTATGAATATGTACAGCTTTGCCTTACATTTCTGGATTTAACTGGTTGTTGTTTTATTTTTTTGTAGGAACCCCCTTATCCTACATAGACCGTGGTATGTTGGATGATAAGGATTTGGGTACTAGGAAAAGCTGCCGTTTCAGTAGAAACTTGCTTGGAAGCTGTGACGGGATAGCCGACCCCACTTTCGGTTTTAAGGAAGGGAAGCCGTGCCTTATTGTGAAGCTCAACAGGATTGTCAATTACAGACCAAGGGTATGTGTCCTCTGCTTTGAGCTGCTGGGTTGATATTGATTGGGGCAGACTAACATATATACAATGTTACAGACATATTCTTTAAACCCACTAAAAACTAATGCAAATAGCCCCATTTACACTACCCTTTTAAAACTGTGACGAGATCAGTCCGGAGACGAGGAACCGCGCTAGCGTGATGTGTAGACGGTCTTCAGGAACACAGATCGGCTTTCACAGGGTAGTGTAAATGGGGCTTATGTCTGTGGCAGAAATTGACCAAATAGTTAACCTATGGAGCTTAAGACACGTCGCAACAGAATTCCCCCACAACTTCAGAGACCCTTTATCTCAGCACATTATAAAGCTAAGGTAAAAGCTGTTACCACTTGATGGCTTGGTCTTTGAGTCTCCAAGCACAATGTTCCAGAGTAAAGAAGCCCGCTATTTTAATTACCATGCGACATGCTGGCTTCTTTGCCTCTAAATGGCTGGTTATAATCCCGCAGCAGTGTGTCGCAGTGAGCTTGTTGGAGATATTTTGCTTTATACCCGATATCGGAGCGTAGTCTGCAAGAAGGACAATCACGAACTAGCTGTGGGTCTAGATACGGCCGAGGCGGTGAGGAAGTGGGGGCAAGTTTGTGCGACAACGAAGGGACATGAGGGCGAAAAAGAGCGGGGATTGAGGTGGAAAAAGGGTCCCAGCATTCTCTGCACCTCGCTCTACTAGCTGGTCCAACTTCATGAGTTGTTTTCCACAATGGCGGTCATATAAACAAAACGAGCCAGTAAGGTACCAAACAGGAAATACGCATAGTGTAGAGCAGATGTAGATTTGATCAATTTGGCCTCCTGTCTGCTGCACTGTCTGCGGTCACCTACAATCTTGGAGAGGTGCAGCAGAGCGTCTGCAGAAGGGGCAGAGGTATATTGGCATTCACTGCGACACACACGCAATCGACCTGGTTTCTGAGTATAAACCAGCCTTACAACCTTTACCCTATAGAGAAGGAATATGTGACTTGTGGATTATTTGATAATGGTAGTAGTTTGGAAGTGGGCAGGAAAAAAAAAACTACAAAAATGTCTGCATGTTTGCATCAAATCATATTTAGAAAACTGGACATGAAGTTTTCCAGAAGACGTTTCACCTCTGATCAAAGAAGCTTCTTCAGCTCTAACTAGTGGGTGGGAAAGCACTGAGATTATAATTCTGTAGGTCTAACGAAGAATTAGGGGGGACAAAAGGTGGCTTTGATCCCTCCCACTGGATTGGAAAATGAAGACACCGGTTAATGGTCGTTAGAGTGTTCTGATGGGTTGTTAACTTCCTCTCATCCAAGATGCCTCTTCGATGACAAACATCTTCTAGAAAACTTTACGTCTAGTTGCCTAGACTGAACGTTTCCAAACAAACTTCACAAATATGTTTTAGAAAACTGTGTCCCACCAGTGGGTTACGGGACCACAGGTGGTTGAAGGTTTTAGTTTTGTCTCGTTCAAATAGAACAATAAGTTCAGTTCAGAATCTCACCTTTTGCATATCATTCAGAGCTGATTAAGAAAATAAGATCCAGATTGGGAAAGATTAGCCTTTTAAGTATTTCCAAAGAACAAGATTTGTTTTTCTTAGACGCTAAAGACTTGAATTCAGCTAACTAGTAGTCCACAGAAACAAGCGGGGGAGGGGTATTCTGCCTAACTAAGAACGAAGTAGATCATCTGGCAAAGGAGTGGTGCATTGTTTAATGTTTCTTTGTTTGAAACTGGAGCCATTTTGATTCCACACCTTTTTCAAAACCTTAGTAAACACTGCTATCAATGACAGGCCTGTGCAGACTCATTCCTGTGGGAACAACCTGAGGAAAAAAGACGAACAAAACAAAGACTGGTTGTAGGTCACATTCAGGTCTTCATTTGTAGTTTTTTGCAGATTGATGCCGAAAATTGTAGTAGTTCTAACATTTCTACAAGAGCAATAGCTTTACTGAACATACAGCAATTAGCCCAAGCTATTACATCACATCTCCGCCTGTCATGTTTAAGTGTGATCAAATGTTTTCTGAGAATAAAAAACTGCTCAAATTCAAATGTTTAGACCTAAAGCTGCTGACAGATAGTTTAACATTTGCATGATAGACCTAGATGTTTTTTTTTTTTTTTCCATGCAACCAATTTAAGCTCCTGGCATTTGAACTAAACTGCATTTATGGGAAACTAATACAGAAAAAAGTGTAAGATCACACCGGAAACTTGTTCACTATGGAGTATTTGTCAGCGTGGTTTCTGATTCAGATTCAGGTGGTTTTCAAAGACATGCTTTACTTGATAGGAAAACCCAGCAACATTAAACATGATTGTTTCACATACAGAAATGAGTCAGAAGTTTCTATAGGTGCACCGAAGCTGCCAAGTTAATCAAAACAGCATGTGGTGCTTTGATTAAAAACATTTTAACATCATCTAAAGCAACCTAACCAAGCTGCAGTATCATCACTTGGGTTCAGAGCAACGCTTTGACAGGATTAATTATTTCTGTCATCCATTTGTTTCCTTAGGTTGAATTTACTTTAGTTCTGTAAATTAAGAAAAAGTAATTTTGGGATGCTGCTGATCAACCACTGCTTCTGTTTTTAGGCTCCCAAGAATGAATCACTTCCAGAGGAGCTGAAGGGCAGATCCTTTGATAACGTCATCCCGATTAGCTGCAAGAATAAGGTAGAGTTATGTATGTTTCTTCCTTCTCTTCAAGGATTACTGCCTTGTAGAGAGACCTAGGCTTCCCACAGTTTATTTCCATTAACTCAGAAATTGATGCTTACAGAGGGAAGAAGACGAAGGCAAGATCGCAGGGATCAAGTACTATGGCATAGGGGGTGGTTTCCCTCTCCAGTACTACCCCTACTACGGCAAAAGGCTGCATCCCCACTACCTGCAGCCTCTGGTGGCAATCCATTTCACCAACCTCACCATGAACGAGGAGCTCCGCATCGAGTGCAAAGTGTACGGCGAGAACATCGACTACAACGAGAAGGACCGCTATCAGGGACGCTTTGACGTTAAGTTCGTCATTAACTCGTGACCCCAGACAGGATGAGCGCACAATAAACATAGAGAGGTATTCAAGAGTTCAGATAAAACACCACTAGTCTTTGAACATTCATTATTTACAGGACCTACACTTAATCCGTGTGCTTTACACTAGCTTTTCCGTGTTTTCTGTCCAGAGTTAGAATGTAAAATACAAAAAAAAAGTAGCAATAGCAAATATTTATTCTACTGTAAATGAAAAAAAAAAATCCTCAAGCCATGGGATGTTCATCAATTACTGTAAAACTGCAGTTTCACTACTGATGTGTAGCGACTTGTGTCTCTGTCCCCATGGTGTTTGCTCCTCACGTGGTTTCTATATATTTTTGAAGTGTCCAGAGTTTGTAGGCTAGTCCTGTCGTGATCTCCTCCTGTCTTATGTCTGCTTTAGTGGTCCAAGGTGTGTGTGTGTGTCGCTTGCTCGTGTCTGTGCAGGCGGTGTTAATGTGAGTGCGCGGAGTGTTTGTCAATGTGCTCAGACTAACCGAAATACTAGCATGGTACTCTGAACCTTTAAGGCCCCAGATGTGAATAGATGACTGCGCTCCATCATTTTTTTTGTTGTCGTTTTGTTTTGATGCCTTTCTTTATTCAAGTTTGCTGTAGAATAATATGTTTGTTTTTGTTCAGCTTCACAATTAGATAGATTTAGATGAGATTTTCTCTTTGATACTCTTAAAATCCGCTCATTCTTAATTCATTAGTGTAAAGCTTTGTGGGTCCAGCCTCAGAAGACTGTCACCTCCATGGAAACCGTGGCAACTCAGTGCTTTGAAATCTGTTTTGCTGGAGACGTCACGTTCCGTGATGTAACTTACTATTGAATGTTTTAGCCATTTTCGTAATGGAAGAATTTTATATTTATGCAGTTGTACATTTTTTTTTTCAACATGTGATGTTTATGAATCCAAAACCAAAGTCGCTGGTCTAAAACTTTCGAGAAAATCAGAGGCAATGCAGTATCCCGTGTTATAAGATGTTTAGTGGGTGTGAAAAAAATCAAAAAAAAAAAAAACTTAATTCAATGTTTTAGATCAAAACAAATGTCAGGAGTCTGATCTTGTCACTTTATTTAATCTGCATAAGGCTGAAACAATAAACAGAAAATTGAGACAACATTGAAATCTTGCAGTGTGTGAAGTGTGACTCGTCCTTTGTTTTTCCTTATCCGTCCAAAATCTGGAAGAAATACTCCACCTGGAAAAGATATTTTCAAGTTAGTGTGCAGTTTTTCAGTAATGCACACAAACACTGGTTGACTTTTAAAGCAGGGTTTCTAAAGGAGCTCAGAGAGAAAAACTGCTTGTTCTGCTTTAGATGACATCAGGAGAGTGACGAGAATCAGCTGGTTACAAAACACGGCTGGACTTTAACTGATTTCTACATCCATCTGTAATCTTTCAGTTTCATTCCAGCCTCCTATGGTCTTGTTCACAAACTACTTTTGTTTGTTATATAATTGATCATTAAAATCATTGTTGCCATAGCTGTTCAGGCAAAAATCTTTGGAGGAGGAACCAAAATAAAACAAAATGAAGAGGGAATAAAAAAAAGAATTAAACCTTCATACATTTAATTTTTTTTAGACTAAACCTTTTTGTATTGGTGGCTACCTGAATCTAAAGGTAGTTTGGTTTATTAATGAGACATACAGGTTCGCAGCTGAATCAGTTTCCTCTGAATGAATGCTTTATGTCTGCTGTGAGAAGTGGCCCAGGTGTTTGACTTCAGACACTCTCTCCTCTGCACAAGCCCTTTCTTGGTCATTCTGTTTTAGTCTTGAGAAAATGGCAGCTCGGCCAGCCATGGGCTAATGTTTAACAAGGAAGCGTTTGTCCAGCGTACAGATCAGGAGTTTTCCTGAACAATGACGTCCGATTGGTCAGACCCACTCCCTGCGAAAACAATGGTTTTGTTTCAAAATTCCTCTGCCACTCTTGTTCTCCTCAAAACCAGCGTGATCTGAGGTTGCCCCGGCCCACAGAGCGGAGTCATGGGACTTGTCTAAAGACGCGGCTTCACAGAGTTGAGGGGAGCTTTGTTCTTGGCCAAAAGCAAGGTAGCCGTTCACGCACGGGCTGCCGGACAATGAGGAGACTTATTTGTGGGGTGAGAACGTGTGGGAGAAGCATACAGAGCTTTTTCTAGCCACACACTTCAATACCGGGACAGAGTAAAACAAAGTAGTGAATACTTTTGAACTACGAAAAAAAAAATCTGAAAAGTGTGGCCTGCTTTTGCCTGCTTTTCCTGCCATTAGTGCTTCAGATCTCTAGGAGCACTCTAAACTTGGAGTGTCTTACTGCAGATTCTCAGTGGGATTAAAGTATTGACTTAAAGCAAGATGTTTTGTTATAAAGTGTATTTCAGCCTCTTATTGATCTGTATTTATCTCCATCTAATCACTTGCAATGTGATCAAATTACACACAGGTGGGCTCTAATTACAAACTAGGTGACGTGTCAAGGCAGCTTGATTGTATTTAGTGGCATCACAGTGAAGAGGGGCAAAATAGAACCACAGGATTTTTTAAGAGTAAAAACATTGCGTTTCCTTTTATTCTATTATTTGTAAATAATGTGCTAGCATAACGACATGTGAAAAAAGGCTGACGGGTGGATTAAACTGAGTGACCCACCTCCAGGACACCGTCCTCTGGAAGGTCTGTGCAGTGCACCGCGTTTCTCACGATGTCCTTGCCGTAAAGGGCGCGCAGCGTGTTGGGACGGAGAAGGCGTGCGATTTCCTGTTGAAAGAAAACAGCCTGATTGTTATATCTTCCCTGATTAACACAAGGACACATCATCCTATTGTCATTCAGCTGTGACTTTCAGCAGCAGTCTGAGACACACAACGCTGCAAACTTCTGTGTCCAAATGTCAACCCCCCCCCCGCCTGGTGTGGATGATGATACAGCTGATGCTGGAAACCGAACATCCTGTCCTCCTGCTGTGTTAATAAAACTGTGATTACTCAGCAGCTGATCATGTGATCCTGGAGAAGAAGCACCACAAAAAAAACAAAACTAGTGACACTCAGCAAAGCTTTGATAGAGGAGCGTCAAGTTATTTTTAAAGCTTAAATGCGAGCAACAGGCCCCCTCTGTTTGTCGATACATGCATTAAAACTTCCACACAACCCCACCTATTTTAACAGTAATATAACTAAACCCTTTTCTTATATAGTCTGTAAAATTCATTCCTAATTCCTCTTTCCTCCCCCCTGTTGCTCATAAACAGCGAGGCCTCTCTTTTGAGTCAAAATGACTGTTTCCTTTCTACATCAGACACTCCCAAGGTCAAAGCTGGGGTTGGTTCTCCTGCCCGTCTCCAGGAAATGCAGCCCTCCAACAAGATCTGTGGTAAGAGGGAGGGGCCGGGTGTACATAATTCATTCACTAAGAGGACTTTTGACCCTCGGACTGCTGCAATCATGGATAATAATTATGGATGCTGTGTGGTAAGAGGTTTGGTCAATAGCTGGACCCTCCATGCATGAGAACACACACAAAAAAGGGCTGTTTGGACAGAGGAGTAAGGTGGAATCTTCAAGGACGTCAGGAGGTGTAGTTCCTCTACGGACCACCTGGTTCCATTTTAGGTTCTTTTAATGTCTCTCTACTGGTTAATGATCAATTCACATCGTAGGTACATTTTTAACTAGAAACCACTTTAACAAATCCACCTGAGTGCTACGATTAGCTAGCCTCCCCTAATCTTTAACAAGCAAAAGCAAATAATCACGTTTTTCAATCAATCGGTTTGATTCTGTTGCTGTCTGAGAACAAATCCTTCAGCAGAGCCTGAGAGTCTTTGCTCTCCAACCTTTATTTCACTGCAATGTCTTCTTTGTATCAGTAAAAGGTACACTGTTTAGCATGTTAGTATTTATATAAACTAAAGGAAGTAGATGTAAAATTATATGACTGAACTGGAAAAGGGGTGGGGCTAAATAAGGGCAAACTTCCACCTTTATCTGAAATGATCCTCAATCATAACTACGTCTTCTATGTCTTCCTAATTACCTATCCAGGGTGCATCCAGTGCCTTACTAAAACACTTCTTTAGATAGGTACAACCCCCCCTCAGAGAACATGCAAGGATAAATAGGGAATGGAGGGATGGATAGATACCACCAGGGTAACATTGTGGTCAGGTCTGGTGAAAAAAAAACCTTAAAAAAAAGAAAGAAAAAACAAATAAAACTTTACATTTTGGTTTTCCAGACATAATCTGAAAAAAAACCTGTAAGAATGATGGTGTTTAAAAACTTTGAGGTGTATTTGTTTCTCATCAGAATATCATCCTTGTACCATTTTAGTACAATCTAACCGTGCCTGCAAGATAAAATCACAAACACTTTGAGACAGACTGAAAATGGGTCAGCCAATCAAGTTCCTGTATTGTGGCTTAAGGCGGGACATATAGCTGTGAAGAAAGCGCGGTGGTGCGGAAGGAAGTAGGTGTAGCTGCTTCTATCACATCCATCTTTGATCCTATCCGTCCTATCTCATCTTTAAAAGTAAAAAAAGCGTCATTTTTTTTTAGGTGTCTTAGCGTCGGCTGACTTGTTAAAACCAAACTTTGGTAGGTGGGCTCCCGGTGTCGCTTCACCCAATCGCCTCCAAAAGTTCTGCTGAATTTACCTCCCTGTTTCTCCAGATTGGAGGATTCCCAGATTAATTATTCTTATAACCCTGTTTTATAGCCAATCATTCCCACCGTAAAACTTTCCCCATCTTCCCAACAAAAACTAAACCTCCAGCTCAGTTTCTTCTAATTCCTACATTAATTTATTATAAATAAATATTAAACTTAGAATACCATCTTTCTTTGTAGATAATTAGTTAACCTTAAGTAAATGATTCACAAAAACCCCAACCGCAGAGACAAATCCGCAGATTAATGCTGCTTTTCAAATGTCTGCATCCCAGAAGTCCCTAAAAAATAAATCACAGCCTGTTCAACAGCACAGCTATAAGAAAGGCTTTAAATCCAGCTCATCTTATGGCCCCTTTTTGTTTGAATACAGATTACAGTAGTTTCACACAAGCAAAGTTTTAAACTTACTAAATCAAACAAAAAGAGGGTAAGTAAAAAAAATAAAAATGGATTTACAAAACCAGAGCAGACAAAGGTTAACTTTACACTGGTTTCTTTCCAAAGCAAGACTTTACAGTTGTTAGTTGGTTTGGTTATTATTATGAATGATGAGGTTTCATCAGAAATCAGGTGGAGAAGGAACCTCTTCTTCTACTTATCATGCCTAATATTGCTTCCTTGTATGAAAGCCTGCATGATGCAGCCTCCATACTGTGCCCCAAAGGGAAATAAGGACAAATCTAGTTAGCAGTAGGAGAGTTTTTTTTGTTTGTTTGTTTGCACAGACTGCTCCCTGTAACCATATGAGCTAAATATAAAGGTTTGGTTTTAATGAGTTTCAGTAGAGCAGACCAGCGTTCCTGTAACTAACCCTCTGTGGACGGTAATGACCCAGAAGTCACATGACAGCTCAGGGACGTCTGATGCTTCATGAACTGCTGACCCCCCCCACATCCTGGTAGTCATACTCCTGTGCAGATCTCAGCAGCTGATAAAAAGTTCAAACCTTTTTCAAGATATGTTTTGATTGGGCACATGTGATTGTTTTAGATCATCAAAGTTTTATAAGTACTAATTAGCATTTAATCAGATCACAGAAAATAGAACAATATTTTTTGAATCATGATTTTATTTATCCCAGAAAATAAGATATGAATAAGCTCAATTTTTCAGCTTCCCTACATGGAAAACCGTGGAAGCTGTCTGTCACCTTCACATTAAGCACACCTGGATTATGCAGCAGGATAAACAATTGGTTAAACAAGGCAAAATGAAGGTTTTGCAGTGGCCTAGTCAAAGTCTAGACT